GGATTTGAACCCGCCACCTTAGGTGTATGTGGCTGGCGCCTTAGCTACTTGAGCCACAGGCGCTGAGCCGTTTCATAAATAAACTTAACCAAGAAAGTAGTCTTAGAATTTTTTTATAAATGGATGCATTCTGTGATTGGATCATGAACCTTCTCCCCTCCCATATCAGAGTCACTTATTTTAAGTGGAAATTTCTACTCGTCTGGAACTGTTTTTGCCTGGACCTGTGGTCTGAATGTTTGTGTCCCCTCCACCAAAATTCATGTGTTGAAATCCCAGCCTCCAAGGATGGTGTTAGGAGGTAGGATATTTGGGAGTTGATTAGATTGGGAGGGAATACTGCAATAAAAGGTCAGGCCTATATTCCCAGCAACTTTAGAGGCTGAGGTGGGAGGGCTTGAGGCCAGGAGTCTGAGGCCAGCCTGAGCAAGAGTGGGCCTCCACCTCTACCCAAAATAGAAAAATTAAACAGGTATAGTGGTGGCTCACACCTGCAGTCTCAGCCACTGAGGAGGCTGAGACAGGAGGATTGCTTTAGATCAGAGTTCCAGGCTGCAATGAGCTGTGGTCATACCACTGTACTCCAGCCTGGGTGATAGAGCAAAATCCTATCTCTTTAAAAAACAATAACAAAAAAATGCCTCGAGGGAGACCCTTTCCCCCTTCCACCATGTGTGGACACAACTAGAAGTTTTCGTCTATGAATCGGGAAGTAGTCCTTGCCAGACACAGACTCTGCTAGCCGTGACCTTGGACCGCCAGCCTCCAGAGCTGTGATGAGTTTCTAGAGCAGCCCAAACAGATACTATCCTTGAGATGACTCCGCCCCCCTTCCCCTGGTGTGGGGTTTGGGGCCGAAAGTGAAGCTGCTCGTATTGCTGGCTGAGGTGGTCATCTGGTTCCTTCCTGGAGAGACACTGTGTGTTGGCGAGTGGTTCCAGGGTGAGTTTCTGGACGATGCCTTTGGAAGAGCAGCTGGCTGCCCCACCGTGGATTCATTTGTTTGCTCCTTAGTGGAACACAAGGTCTGTAAGAGCTGGGACTTTGTCTTGTTCACTAAACACCCACAAAGCTGACAGTCGATAAATATTTGTTAAGTAAACATGCGGATCAAATGCACAGCTTTGCCTGATTAATGCAAAATAGTGGAGTTAATTCATTAAGACAAAGCAGAAGAGTGGCATGGCTGTTTTTAGGCCATCTGGACTTGAAGGCTCCAAATATGCGCACGTTCTCCACGACTCTCCTGCTTCGTGCCTTTGAGATGCTTTTGTTTGCTCCTGTTTGGATCTCCTGGGAAACACGGAGGTGCTGAGTTCTTGAACACAGTGACCAGGGTCCCGGTACTGAGGCTGCTGTCCTAGTGAGCCTGCTGTATGGGCTTCTCTGGATACGTCAGGAGCTAAGTCTGTTGTGCAGTTTGCCTGGTGGTTGACGACTGTTGTGAGGTTTTGGTTGTGGGCCTCCATCTTTCTTGGTACATATTTTTTCCAATTCCAGGATCAGCACTGACTCCTCAGATCTTATTTTTTGTAACCCCTTGAAGTCCTATACCCAGAACACTTATTGTCTTCCTGATGACCCAGGTTGGCCAGGGATCAGCTTAGGCCTGATACCCTTGGTGGAGGGAGATTGGTGAGTTGTCCAGGCACCTGTGAGCAGAAGGGTCTGGGCAGTGGACTCCACAGACATGCTGGAGTGAAGCTACTGTTTCTTGTTGCAGGGTGCAGCAGAAGACCCCCAGACAGCGCTGGCCTTGAACTTTGACTCTACGTTGCTGAAGAAGAAGTCCGATCCCGAGGGTCCTACGCTTCTCCTCCCTGAGAGTGAACTTTCCATCCGGATAGGTAGAGCTGGGCTTCTTTCAGGCAAGCTCTTTGAGCTGGGTTTGGCAGCGTAGACTTGGTCTGGTGGTGGGATGAATAAGGAGGGAATGCCAGGCGGTCTGTCCCATCCCTCCCAACTACTCACCCTTCTATCGTCTAGAACCAAGCTGGCATCAGGCCCTGCCGCCTGGTCTTATTTCTTCCCTGTGTGACCTGCTTAGTCTATAGGAACCTTCTGATCATCTTTTCCCCTTGGAGAAGTGGACGTGAGGGTCACTCTGCTGGGGCCGGAGCCGATTTGAGGTGGAGAGTGTCAGCATTGGCACCTCGGCGTTCCCTTTCCTCGTGAACCCCGGATGCTCCTTCTCATATATGCGGCTTCCATCTTTTTGATGTTTCTGTCATTGACTAATTTTTGGAGCCAGAAAACCTGAAGACTCCAAGAGCCTTTTCTCTTGAGTTAGAGGGACTGTGTCCCTGGGGAGGAATCAGATAATTTCTGAATTGTGTGGAGGAGAGGGCCCTTGTTTTCCAGCCTCCGGGTTAGCTCTCCCCCTCCTTGCCCTGACATTGTTCAGGGCTCTGGATGAATTTAAGGGCCAACTGGCCTGAGGAGAGCGGGATGCCTTTCTCTTTTCCTGTGAATTTATGTAAGACGTCCCCCCATCTAATCCTGCAACCAAGACTGCTGGGAACGGTGCCTCTTTGCTGTCTCTTCAAAGAATGGAGGAAAAATAACTTGGTGGCTAGTCGCTGCCTTCCCAGGAGCGGTTTAGGGGAGAAGCGCCCTTTCACATTTCCATGCTGGCATTTTAATTTAATCTTTCTTCCATCTCTAGGCCAAGATGCCCTCTAGCCCTCAGGGAGAGCAAATGTAAAAAAGTTACAGCCCCAGTTCTCTGGTGTCTGCCTTCAGATTATGTCTTGTGTGAATTATTCATGGGGAACTTGAACGTCTTCTCCACGTGGGTTGATCCTCACTGCCTCCCACACCTTCCCGTGGGTTAGAGCCAGGAAATACAATTGCATCTGACACCTGCTTAGGTCACAGAGGGTTAGAAAGATAAATCTTCCTCTGCTCCCCTCACCCGCGGCATTTATCCTCAGATCCGGACGGCTTAGGTGTTGACTTCTGTTCCCTGCTTATTGGTGTGTCACTGGGGACTGTCTTAGTGGTGAGAGTGTGCTGCTGGATTCAAGTGAAATTTGTCATTTCTCACGGGAACGCAGAAACACGGGCCTTTCTTTGATTCTCACTAGCACGATGGTGCCGGGGCTCCTGTGGGCCCCTTTGAAGACTTTATGATCCTGATTCTGAGCCTTTGCTAAATTAAAAAAGTTGACCAGACTGTCTTCCATCTCATTTTTTGTCTTCAAGGCTGTAGAGGAAGGGAGAGTCAATGTTAATCAAAAGGTGGCAAATTCTCCCAGGGGCCTTTTTCACTGGGGCCACAGCAAGGCAGGGTGTGGGGAGTGGGCTTTATAGGAGAGCACCTAGGACCACTGGATCTTTTTGGCCAATCCAGGGGTAAGTGGTAGAGGGGGTAGTGGGTAGGAGGGGGATACAATCCTGTCTTCCTGCTCAAAGACACCAGGCACAGCCTGTTACCAGGTTATCAAGCAACCTTTGGAACTATTGTTGGCTATTCAAACACAAACGCTTAAGGGGAGCACAAAGGTGGTCTCCCAGCCATCTCTTGAAAGGTCGCTGCTCTTCTCACCTGGACACACCTGTGAGTGGCAGGCAGCTCAGGGCTCTAAAACCGATAATAGCTATTTGGCGACTGGCCTCGTGCAGATGGAGACCGAATATGCATTGTTTATGCCAACTGGATTTGCCCTCAAGCTTGCTGTAAATGGAGCAAGGAGATTGGTTTAATGGGTATTTAGTGACTAGCATCAGCCTTTAAAAAAATATTGGCGCTGCTGCTGTAATGGCCCGTAATTGGTTCAGCAAGAGGAGAGGCCAGAGGAGCTGTGCTGTGGGGGAAGTTCAGCTGCTCTGAGCAGCAGCCGCTGCTGAGCTGGGAAAAGCATTTATGAGATACTTCCCTATTTATGTCTTGGTGTCAAATGTTTTACGACATCAACTATTCTCAACGCTGGAGATATTTTGAGGCTTAAGTAGGCCAGAAATTCTTCTAAAACTACTTGTTTTTCTCTCTGTCTCTCTCCTCATCCATCCATCCATCCATCCATCTTTACCTAGTTTCCTTTTAATTAAAAATATAATATGGATTACAAAGATAAAGGAATTTCTCTTCCAGCTTCAAATCCCTTACGGTCCAGTCCGCCGTCTCAGACACGAACGCCGTTTCTAGCTCCTTATGTATCCCTTTAGAAATGCCCTCTTCGTACCTGCACACCTGACCCACTCTTCTGTACCACGTGTGTCTCTTCACTACTCCACTTGGCATTCGTTTCCTGGGGTACTCACAGACCCATCCCATCCTTGTTACTGGCCATGACGTTACCTAATTAGGTATTTCCCCTCTTCATGCCCTGTAGATTAATTATGGTGTTTTGCTCTTATAAAGAATGTTGCAGACAGCCTTTGAATGACTGCCTAGGTTAAAAATCAGGGACTTTTTCTTTCTTTTTTTCTGGCTGCGTTTGAACCCACCACCTCCAGCATATGGGGCCGGCGGCACCCTATTCCTTTGAGCCACAGGCGCCGCCCTTTTTCTTTCTTTTTTTCTTTATAAAAAGGAAAATAAACAGGGAAAGTGCTATGTGGGTATTAAACACTCAGGCCAAATATACCACTCTTCAGAAGCCAGAGAGTCAATCAAGTGTGTCTGCCTGACAGTGGTCCCATGAGAAAGGACGCTAACCCTGTCATGTTGCCTGGGCGAGCCCTGGCGAGGAGGGTATTTCCCCTGTGGACAGTTACACCATTGAGTAAATTGCAGAAGTTAGGCCAGGGGTTCTTTATATCTGAGGTCCATCCATGGGTGCCGCAGAGCTCAGGAACTCCTTAAAATTTTATTCAAAGCACTATGCTGAACCGATGGCTCCACGACCCTAGCATTGTTCTATATCATGGACCCTTTTGCCTCCGCGTCCCCTATTTAGTTATCAAGTTGAACTTGATAAATGAAAAAATCCCCACCAGCACCCCCTTTAGGCTGAGGCGAGTGTAGTAAGAAGCAAATCCATCCATCTTTTACTAATCGTTAACTGCCCCATTGAAGTGTGTGGTCTGTCCAGGGTAGGAAAGCGGAACTCTTCAGGAGTGAACTTCATCATTAATTATTGGTGCATTTCATTGATGTGTTAGCACAGCGAGGGGGAAATTGTCCGTTACTGTGTGCATCTGTGGAAGGCACAGGCGTGGGCATTATTTTCTGGTAGAGAAGGGGGTGGATTTCTGTGAGGAAGTTATTTAGTTGTGAGGTGGCACCTATACATTTTCTATAAATCTTTCTAAAGCTTGCCCGGGGGTCGGAGGGGAAGCGAATGGGTACTTAAGTCAGGAAAGCATAAGCCGTATGCCACTCCAGTTAGAAACAGATTTTCTCTTAATGCCCTATTTTCTGTTAAAGGAGAGTTCAGTTGGCAATAATACTTCTCCCTAGATAGCCTTGCAGATTGGCTGCAGTTATTGAAGCCGCATTTTGCAAAATGAAACCAAGGCAGAGCTGGTGTTGAGTAAGTTTTAGAGCACAGAACTGCAATCTCTTACCCATTAGCCATGTGTATTTCTTTGTTTTCTATTTTAAAATCTTAAGTTCCTTCTTGGTACTGCTACTGGTTTGCTGGGTAGCACTTCCCTGTGGAGATGGTCTTGGGGGAGATTGTTTTTATTTTTTTTCTTTCTAAGAGACAGCCTCACTCTCTTAGCTCACTGCAGCTTTCAGTTCGAGCTCAAGCTATCCTCACCGTGTTTCCTGAAAATAAGACCTACCCCCAAAATAAGCCCTAGCAGGATTTCTATGCATTTGTTAAATATAAGCCCTACCCTGATAATAAGACCCAGTGATGAGCATAGCTATGTGCCATGTGTTACGGTGTGGAGAATAAGACATCCCCTGAAAGTAAGTCCTGGTGTGTCTTCTTGAGAAAAAATAAATATAAGACAGTGTCTTATTTTGGGGGCAACACGGTCACCTCAGCTCCCGAGTAAGTGGGACCACAGGCACACACCTTCATGCCTAGCTAATTAAAAGAAAAAGAAGAGATGGGGGGGGTCTTTCTATGTTGTCCAGGCTCATCTCAAACTCCTGGCTTTAAGTAGTCCTCCCACCTTGGCCTCCTAAAGTGCTAGGATTACGGGCCTGAGCCTCTGCACCCAGCCCATTTACCTTTCTAACTCAAGGTTCCCAAGGGTTGACTCCTGATCAGCATCACTAGGGGCCTGTCCCATTCAGAACCACAATGGAGTTCATGTGTTCCGTGATCCCCTCCTCCACCCTGAGGCCCTCTTTCTTCTCCAGGTATCAGTCACATTGTCCTGTTTTGATCTCGTACTTGAAATCATCCCTTTCTCCCATTTTCCCTGTTAAACATCCTCTCTTAAGTGCCTGAGGGGACAGATCCCATGAACTGATGACAGGAAGGTCTGACAATTGACTTCATGTTTTACTACTGCTCAGGTGCTTGTGTTTTAACTGGGAACAGTTTCTCTAGTTGTACGATGAACCCAGTGGATTTTCACACTGGTTGGCTTTGGAGGATTGTATTTTTAGACCCATGTGTGGGGCTTAGGGAGGGTGGCCAGGCTGTGTGGGATGAAATCTCTCCTTGGGAGCAGCTGGTTCTCTGTGAAAGATCAGCCACATGCATTCAACTCCCAACTCTGAGACTTCTTGGCACGGAAATTCCTTGGAATCGCCTAAGGCTCTGAAAGCAAAGAGGAGTATTTAAACAGCTTCGAGGTTCTTATGATAATCACTGCTTTCTTCTTCTGTATCTTCTTACTTTCCGTGTCTTCCAGAAGGAGATGTTCCATTTATCACTGATATTTCTAGCCAAACTTTGGACCTTAAATGTGATGGAATTGGATGTAGCTCCTAGGAGAA